AAATCATAATTGCGCTGGGGAAAAAAAAGTCAGAATTGTGAGAAAGTTTTTTTATTATTATTTATTTAGATATTTTATTCAGTGGCGGAAACAGGCTTCCTTAGAATTGTACTGATTCTAAGCAATTTGAATGATTTTGAATTGTTATTATTTAAATAAAATCAAACTGATGTGATTACTTAATGCCATTATCTTTTTTTTAATGCATAAAGTTTAATTCATGTATGACTTGTCACAATATGCAGATATGTATCATATTAAGTTTATTCGTTTAAACGTTTTAACAAACTAATACATTTAATGTGATGAAAATGAAAGTTGTTTTTGCCTCTGATACACTAAAATTAATTGGAGCTAAATTTAAGATTTATGTATTTGAATTACTTATAAAACTCAATTCAAAAACATAAATCTTAAATTTAGCTCCTTTTTTTTGTGTAATAGAGGCAAAAAACTACTTTTTCTGAATAAATTAGCCTTAAATCAAAAATACACCTCTTAAGTTAAGAAAGGAAAACACTCACATCCTCATTGGTAGTAAGATTTGTAGCCACCAGGTATGTATGGAAGCCTGAGAGGCCCAAAATGGACCAAACTGAAAAGAAGCAGACCACTAACTCAAGAGCAGTGGACAGAAGTCAAGGAAGACTTCAGGATTTACACAAATAAAGAATATGAACAGCAACTACTAGTCCCTTGGTTTGTACAAACAAGCAGAATATTGAACTTACAATGGAAGTGTACCAAAATATGTGACATTTATGCATGACATGCAGTGCACAAAAACACACACACACACACACACACACACACACACAAAGATATTATGGCCACAGATTAGGAATTCATTCTCTCGTTTTAGCTAAATCATGGCCACAATTTAACTAAAGGGAGTAAATTAATACAATGTGGCCAAGATTTACCCAAAACGAAGGAACTAATTAAGACATGGGAGCAATTTAACTAAAACGAAAGAAAAAAAAATACACTGTGGTCATCATATCTATTTCTTCCCCACATATCGTATGCAGTGCTCCATACAGAAGTGTTTAAAAGCAGAAATGTGACATTTTGGGTGCTGGGAACCATTGCACTCGGATGCACTCATACGTGCACAGTGTAAAAACCACTATGGCTATACTAGCTATACTATAAAAACCCTGTATTGTACGTTTTTTTGGGGGGTGGGGGATTCCCCATTGTCATGTCTTGCCCCATAGATTTTCATTGTAAGCACATTACTACAAACCCGATTTCAATTGCTTTGATAAACTGAAGCACAAGTTGAGATTATTTTGTGTGTCACAGATGCTGTTCATTGAGCTTCACAGGGGAAGTCGTGGCCTAATGGTTAGAGAGTCGGACTCGTAACCCAAAGGTTGCGAGTTCGAGTCTCTGGTTCAGCAGGAATTGGAGGTGGGGGGAGTGAATGTACAGCGCTCTCTCCACCTTAAATACCACGACTGAGGTGCCCTTGAGCAAGGCACCGAACCCCCAACTGCTCCCCGGGCGCCGCAACATAAATGGCTGCCCACTGCTCCGGGTGTGTGTTCACTTCACTTGTTTGTAACCCAGAACATTCCTTTACGGCAATGATAGACTTACCCCCGGTTTCACAGACATGGTTTAAGGCTAGTCCCAGACTAAAATGCATGTTTGAGCTGTCTCAACTGAAATTATCTTGCTCTGACTTATCATAAAATATTTCAGCTCCATTGTTCTGTTTCAAGATGCACACAACATGTTCTTCTAAGGCATTTTATAAAAGCTGCTTAAATATCTTAAAGGGGTCATATGATGCGATTTCAATTTTTCCTTTCTCTTTGGAGTGTTACAAGCTCTCGGTGCATAAAGAAGATCTGTAAAGTTGCAAAGACTTCAGTCTCAAATCCAAAGAGATATTCTTTATAAAAGTTAAGAGTTAA